GGCCGGGGCAGGAGAGCGGGGCCGGGCGGTGCGGGGGACGGCCGGCCGTAGCCGCCGCTCCGGGAGCTTCTTTCAGGGACAAACCGGACCGGCAAACTTCTCCACAGGAGTTCACAGGGCGGTTTTAAAGCTCCCCCCCGCCCCGCTTTTAATATACGTAAAACCGAACATGTTTCTAAATCGATCATGTATCCCCACTTACGCTACTCCCACAACCGCAAGTCTGAAATCACTTAAGCAAAACAGTCATTGTAAAGGCCAGTCGATGTACGCGAAAGAGCCTATTTTAACTTCGCCGCAGTCAGCCTGTTTTTCTAAAATACTCTGGAATATCTTTGCCACCGTCCTGTGCTGACTCTGTAGCTCCTCAGTAAAGCAGTGCAAGAGTTAGGTTCACCCTCATTGCTACTTTTCCTCTTCTGCTATGAAACAGTTATTTCTGACAAACTTACAATATTCGCTTTTGCAAATCTGTGTTTTCTGCCACCTCTTACTCCTCGCCAGGGCGGGCGGCTGCCTACCTTGTGGTAGAGCCTGTCAGGAGGGGAAATTCTGTAGCACACAAAAAGTGGCTTTGCATGTCGTGCCACCAGTGATTCGTGTCATACCACCAGCTTGTGATCCCCCATCACTTGTTGCATACAGATGCCTCCAGTTATGTACCTTTCTCACATTTATTTCGCAGAGGTCTCATAACGGTTAATCTTTTGCATACCGGTAATCTGCCATATTTTATGTGAAGATTAGCTGAACATTTACAGTATTTCAGTGTTGCAACACCCGCAGCAATCTCTCTCCTCAGCATTGCTGGAGTAGAAATCTTTTCCGGGTGACTGTCGGCAAAACTTGTCACCCATCAGAGAGAATGCGGAGGAGGACAGCCAGGGTGGGCTTTGGAAGCCATGGCCCAGAAGAAAAGGTAGGGTGGGATAGCTGGGGTGGAAGGGAATGTGTATTTTAACAGTCTTTAGGTACGTAAAAGGCTGCTCACAAAGCTGACGGGTATATGCCGTTCTCCTTGGCCACACTGAACAGGTGTAGAAGTAATGGGGACATTTAGGGAAGCCATTAGGGAGGGGGTGGTGAAGCAGTGGAGGAGGCCAGCTGTGACGTTGGTCTCTGTCACTGGTCATCAAAGAACTGACTGGACAAGGATCTGTCAGGAATAGCGGTGGTGTGGTGCTCCCTTTCCTGAGGCAGACTGGCAGGGTTAGGTGAGACCCTGAGACCCTGCCCAGCTCTATAAAGCTGTATTTCAAGTGTGTCATAAAAAAAAAAAAATACTTATTTGCATAGACATTTTACTTTTTATTGTTTAAAACAACCAACTTGAAAAATAATTTAAGTGAAGAATCACAAAAATGGGATTTTCATTTTCTATTGAAACTAACAGCAACTGTTGTTAGGAACCCAGCTTTCAGGTATAGCCCGTTTTAGTCCAGGACTGCCATTCAGAAGGGCAGTCCCTCTGATGCATAGCACTTAAGCCAGCATTTAATTAAAAGTAATAATGAAAAAAATTCAGTAAGACCATCAGTACGACCAATTCATTAAGACCATCAATGAGAAGTCAGTACCTCAGAACAGCAAGATGCCTTACTGAGTGTAATAGACTCATAATTGTTCAGTCATAAAACTACTCAACCTCTTTTCAGACTCCTCCTTCCAGTAGTCATTTTTCTAACAGCCGGAAAGACCTTTTCAGGCATATTTTCTCTGTTAGAAGGGACATCTGAAAACAATCCCCTCCCTTTACCATGATTCAAAGGACAGGTACGTCCTCTTTTAGTCCAGATCCAGTGGTGTTTCTAAGAACCTGACTAAAAGTTTTTATATTGTCTGGTCAAAGTGAGTATCTAATTCACAGCATCATTAAAACTGAAGATCACTTGTTCTGAAAATCCTCTGATGTTACCATTTTCAGCACATGTATAAGACTTTGAGAGGCCAGATTCATTTTTCTGCTTCCCTGTGTCCTTTATGGAATAAAGTAACTTCAAATTTATTTTTTTGTTTGAACTGAAGTGTTTTCTTCAAAGCGCTAGAGGAAAGCCATGTGTTAAGGTTACACTGTCATTAGTTTTGTGCACTTAATATGCATTCTGCACCCTCACTTCTCACTGCAGGAAAGCGACATCACCTGCAAACTTCCACAGTGTCCATAACTTCCATAATGTCAATTCTCATCACCACAATTAGGCAGGAGAACTGGGCACAATACAGTATCTTATTTCTGAGTTCTGGCTCTCTGCTAGTTGTAAATTTAGATTTTCATTTTAAAAGTTTAGAAAATGTTCAGAAAATTATTTTCAAATGTACCAATGAAATAAAGCTGGAACATTTCAAGGAAATGAGAAAAATGTTTTATGAGTAGAAAGGCTCAAAAATAGAGGATTTATTTTTCTACCACTAGAGACACAAGAAACAGGGACTACTGGTGCATTTTTCATTTTCTGGGGAGCTCTTAAAGGATCAGTTATTCGTTGTTCCTGCTCATTTGTACATGAGGAACCAAAGCAACAGCTTTCATAATTTTATCATTCCCATGGTAAACCCGCTCAGGCAACCATATTCTTATGCCACTGTAGTAGCGGCAAAAACTAATATAACAGATATAAAGAGAGAGTCATTTGGTCTTACTCACTCTGCCAGTGAAGTGCTGCTGCCGAAGCGAACCATGGGCATTTCCAAGGCGGTTTGGCACGTTTGTGATGTTGGATAGAACCACGTCTGCATGGTTCAGAGACGTGGTTCAGACCGAAGGGGTTATTACAGTACGGCTTTGTCATGTCAGGAATATCTCTAACAGCTGAATGGTAGTGACATCTGTCTGAACTACTGTCTTTACCAATGCTCCAGCTGATATTTCCCTGGTATGATACCACTGACTGAAAAAAAAACAACCCACCAGATTTCATTATTTCAAGAGACAGTACAGAAAAAAAAAAATGCTGGAATGCTGAAAAATGAGTTTCAACCCAGTATGTCTGTTGTGGGAGTTGAAAAATTTGCTTCAGCAGAAAGCCAGCTGTTACAGAAACCCCTTTTATAATATATTTTCCTGATCTTCTGTACTCCTCATGTTGAAAGCTATGATTTTATGGCAATTGTGTAGTCACTTTTTCCAGCTGGAATAGTGTGATATACAGGAAAAAGCCAGGATATGCAGGTCCCAAAATTTGTCCTTATCTTTTCAAATAGCCTTGATTCTCTCCTCACAGGAGAAGAGATTGTAACCGATTGTAAGTTACTGGGATTTCTGACACATTATATTTCCAAATTTTTAAAGTGTTTTGATCTCATATATTAGTCTGTATTTGGAATGTGAAATTGGGATGGCTCTCCTGGACCTTATGTGGTAGAATAGAGGGAAAAAAATTAGGAAAAGAGTACGATAGGTAGGACATAACTAGGGAAAACGTCCTCCAGGAACATCTTCATAGTTTCCAGAAGCACAGGGACTTGATGAGCCAGAGGTTGCATGGAGCCTAACATGTTCAATAACCTTTCATGATGCTGCAATTTAATTTTTTAACTAATTTCTGTTTTTCTGTCCATAACATTTTGTGCAAGGTTCTCCACAATTTAACTGCACGGGTGGCTGAAGGACACCACACAGTTCTGTTAAATCTTCCTTCGTTCTGGTGCTGTGACTGCTGAATAACGGGGTCCTGCTCATGTTGCCAGCACCATTCATGATTATGCTGATATCTGCCATGCAGTAGTTTCTATGGAAGTGGCCAGTTTCAAGAATATATCTTTAAGTTTTACTCAAGCTTTGTGAGTAATACGTTGTATCAAGGGTTAAAACTAATGGATTTCATCAGTTCCAGTATTTCACCATTTGCCTGTGGCAAATTTTGGACTCGGTGCCAGCCATTGAGCCCTAAGCTCCATTGCATTCAACACCAGACATAATCCATATCATAAACTCAATTCCCTTGACACAGATCAAAAGTCACTTCCTTAAAATGCCAGTGGTACTGGCTAGATCCTCTGCTGGACCTTCCCCTTTGGTTAGTGTGAAGCAGTGCTCGTAGGGACCAGTAGTGGCTCCTTTACAATCTCGTTATCTGAAGCCTGTCCTTCTTTCATATAGTCTGGGAGCTGCTGTAACCTCGCTCTTGCAATAGCAGGTG